GGGTGCCTCAACAACAACAACAACACATGCCCCAACAATCCCAACACACAAAACCCAAAAAAAGCAGCGAAAACAGAAAAACTGCACCCTTGACATGAAGACATGAAAGCAATGAAAACGCTGGCTGACGTGGTGCTTCTCAATGAAAACTTTGAACGACAGACCACACTTCCCCCCCGAAAGGTAGCTCTCCGCCCCCACAGTGCCGAAGCGCCACAAGTGCACAGTGCACAACGACTCCAAGCTAAAACAGTCCATCATTGCCTCCACTGCTTTGGCCGTGGCACGCCACCGGCGAAGAGAAGCAGTCTCGGCTCAATGTCTTGCTTCGCAGATCCTAGCAACAGCACGAGCGAACTCAGGATGCAACCCCTTCGAAATGGCGCCTGCCGCCTCATTTGCCCACTGATTGTACAGACGGCACAGCGAAGCCTGAGGCCACCCTGGCGGCGGTTGCCACTGAGCAAGGTTGCCGTGAGACGGCGTACACTCTATGCTGGTGTCAAGCGGGAGCATCAGAGCAATGGAAGCCCAAGAAGCCTTCGCCAGACCCCTGCAAGCATCTACGAACCCTAAGAACAACCACTTCGTTGTCGCACAGCAGACGGAGCTTGCCAGAACGCAGCTCGCTCCCCGGCAGCTGGCGTTTGTTCAACACATCAACACCAGGCACACAAGCCCGACAACTTACACCCATCAGTGGAAGCCACGCCCCACGCAGCACGCTGGTGGGTCGCAGCTAAGTAGACACTAGGCAGCTCCCATCGATTGCCAGCAGCACCGGCTCACACAAGCCGCTCAAATGGGCGGCAAGCTCCGGGTCAGGCACAGGAGGTGCCACCGTGCTGCGCACCGCCATGGGAGCAAGCGGCACTACATCGGCCGACCTCTGCTCCAACATCCAAGGCACCGCAGGACAGTCGAAAGCGCGTGATGCACCGCACGCGGCGATGCGGCGAGCAACTGCAAAATGAGGGTGGGGTTATCCCGAAAAATATATAAATCACTCCAAAAACACCTCTCTCAACCTGCGAACGCTGCCATGTGTGGGTCAAAGGCCACTATCAGTGGTGTGACCTTAGCTCGCATCCGACTGCGTGCATGTTGGATTTATGCTTTTAGTGTTTTGGGGCGGTTCTGTGCGCTGGTGTCGGGGTCACGAAGTGTGTTACCGGGTCAGCACTTCGCGAAGGCGTCTCAGCGCTGAAGGCTGCTGCCGACAAGGCCAGCTCTTCGGGTAAAGCCATTCGTGCAGTACTCTTCGTGCATGAAGTACGTACAAAGAGACAGAGAGCAACTGGCCAGGGGGACTTTGGTGAACTTCTGGGGGCATTGGGGCTTCCTCTGTGGCTGGTGCCGGCGATAGAGGCTGCCGAACTTGCCCCCATGTTGTCACATGTGTCGGCTTTACTTGATGGCTAGACCCGCGAGGTTGTAATTGCAGTTCTAGAACTTGCCTTGGTCTACTTCGGCGTCAAGTTGCTGCCTCCCGAGCCGCATGCTGAGCGTTCGTCGACGTTGTGTGTGGCTGGTTTTTTTAGTCCAATTCTTTGAGGTGGTTCGGCTTCTTGCCAGCTGACGTGCGGTGCCGGCCTTGGGATCTCTTCTTCAGGCCTTGGCAGTCTTGGCACTAGGATGCAGCCAGCGAGCGCCTGGAAGCGCTAGCAGACATCGGGAAGCAGCATCGTTTTCAATTTTCGTTTCAGGCCACGGTCCGATCCAAGGTCTTTCCTGCAGATCGGAGTGAGCCCACAGTGAGGCGCCTTCCTCCTGAAACCTACATTTACCTGCCAGCAAAGGCCAGGGGTTTGCAGAGGTAATGCTGGCGGTCATGAAGCTTGACCGGAATTTTCCATCAAGTTTCCATCGCTTGACCACGAAAAAGCAGCACACAGACGCCGTACTTGGCAAGTGATCGTGTCGCATCGGAGATTCGCACCTTGCTTTGAGACTCCTCGGCGCGACTTCTGGATCAGCATCACTTTAGTATCTGGATTCCTGTGCCTGCCCTCAAAGCAGATTTCAAGGCCAGTTTGCTTTCGTGAATGTCGCGCACTGCTGAGACCTTGTTAGCATAGTTCGTTAAACGGCTTGCACCGCGTGCGGAATGTAGGACAGTGTTCCGGACATTCCTCGAGTGTGTTGAAAAATCTTCGACCTGCAAGTGTCGCATTGTCTACTCCACAGTTGCTGAATGCTCCACGGCTTCAGGAGATGCACAGACGGCGACCAGGTTTGGCTGCTAGGAACCACCGAAGCGCTCAGCTTTGACTCTTGATGCCGCGATAGGTCTGGGCTTGGCTGTCACTCTGTTGCTCGTGTACCTCGCAGGCACCGGAGAGGGCAAGCGAGCGAAGTTCGGCCATAGTTCGGCCATAGTTCGGCCATAGTTTTGTTGGCAGCAAGACATCGCAGATGCTGAGAGTACATGTATTGGACCTACAGGTCTCAGATTCTGCTCATGATGTTGCACCTTGTTGCCTCTTCGACTAGCCGACAGATTGGAACCCCACTGGAAGTTGTCTAACCAAATAGATTAACATGTTTGATATCATGTTTGTCTGTGTCTCTGTGTGTTTGCACGCATGTGTTTGCTTGGCAGGATTCTTGTCGACACCTTTTGTGAACGTGTCCTCTGATGCATCGAGCTCTCTGGCCCGACGAGCCGCAGAGCCTTGGTTTGCGACGTGGGTGGTTCATGGTCAGCCAGCGTGTCTCCTTCCACAATCAGGTTAGCCTGCTCGGAACTAATGTCTGCGACGTAAATTAGGAGCCGAAGCCAGTTTGGCTTCGAAACTGTGAGCACAGGAAAAGAGGCCGCCGCCGCGGGACATGGAAACAAGCCTCAGTCCAGAGGATTCTTATGAGATGCCCCGGTGAAGCTGGCATGTTTGATGTTTGTGCTCAGTGCTCATTCTTGCGAGCCGTTTCTCAAGCCGCTTTTTTGCACAACCTCGGAGAGGACTCCGGAGGAGGAGAAGAAGATGAACTACTGGAAGTACGCGTGCCTGCACTATGTCACTCGCAGTTGACAGGGATCGAAATCAACTTGCCGCCAGGAGCGACTTTGATGATCTTTCGGCGGAGGAATCGCTGGTAGAGTGATTTACTCTGAGTTTCGGGCTTTCACGTCACGGTGAACTCAGGAGAAGCTTAAGAGCCCGCTCGTGGTTCTTGGCTTTTTTCTCTTCTTGACACCCTTCATTGGTGGATTCTATCTCTTGGTCGTGCCGGCATGTATACTGTAGTTCTTCGGAGCCTTCTTCATATGTGGCCTGTGGTGGCATTCCAGGTCAGTGGTGGAGGCTTGGATGACTGATATCATACATGCAGGAATCACGCATGAAACTCCTATTCTCTTCGACGCCTCCCAAGTCACGGACTCGGGATGTCCATCATGTCTCACACGAGCCGTGCCGCCCAATTGACAGTTCAGAATTCAACGAAGTAATTAGTGATGATCTACAAGTTTAGGCCGACAGGTGGCTGGCAGCTTTCTGCGCAAAAGGGCTTTAGGCCGAGAAGATCCGCTGTAGCAGTTGCAGCATTTCTTGCAGACGGCACACGACGTTGCAATTACTTATAGTCCTGGCCGTGCACCAACCAGTATAGTATTCTCAAACGGTGGGCTGTTGCCTCTCGGAAAAGCTGCGACACGCTGATATCTGAACTAGCTTGAAGAACTTGAGAGCATGTTTATTCGCAGCCGCTGCCTCCGAGCCTGTGAGTAATTTCGGTTCTTTGCTCTGGCAACATGGCGCCAAGTGCCGAGACGGTTTCAGACCACTTTTACTGCTCAAGAGCTGTCATGGACTGCAGGCCTCTGGATGGCGGCGAAGGCAAATCACAAGTAATAGCCCCAAGCTGAGAAGTCCACACAGGCAATGTGGATCAGCTTCCATGCTCTCAAGAAAGGATTTGGTCATACCAGAACATGATGACAAGGCTACGGTGAAGACTGTTGCCTGTCACAAGCACCTCCGTTGATCAAGCTATGTTTTTCAGGCGTTGCATCAGCTCCTGGATGCACTTGGTGTGCTCGGATTATTTCTGCCAGTGTATGCCATTGCCTCTGAAACTGGCACAATGCCAGGATCAGCCACTGTTCCGACGACCTTGCCCCAAGGCTGTGTGCGACGACATGCGAGCATGCAGGCCTTAGTTTGACACAGTCCGTGCCGCCCCACCAGGCTGGGATAAAGCTGCTGCACTGAAGCGGCTTTCTGATCATCTTGTGTTGCTGGCTCAGCCGAACGACTCAACTCCTGCCGACCGTGCTTGCTGTCATGTTTATTTAGTGCATACTCAGGTTGATCGATTCAGAAATCAGCAGGAAGTTGAAAGGCTGGGTCTTCCTCTGCAAGTTCTGCCAGCTGCATTTCCGTCTTTATGGCAGGCTTAGATGACTTGAACTCTCACCTCACGAATTTGCAGGCTCAAGTGCGTTGCTCAGCAGTCGATGCGAGCTGCGCCCACTGCCCCAAGTTGTTTCGACTTTCGCGACCGCAACGAAAGCTGACACGGCCAATAACCTTTTCGGTAAGGGGCCAGGATGGAGTTCTGACAAGCGAGTGTGCATGACTTCTTTTCGCGTGGAGGGCGGTTTTCGGCTGGGTACCTGAGCGGCCAGCTTGCATTGATTTGCGACAGCCCCTCAAGGGCCGCAAACAAATCGGATCTAGAGACTCTACCTGCACGAGTTATCATGCACACTGCATAGGAAGTACGAACACACTCAGCCAAGAGCACCTGTCAAGCACCTGTCAAGTTGACATGTGCACTGGCTTGCACACCAACAAAGATTTCAGAAAGACGGAAGTCAAAACATGGACAAGTCCGTACAGCTTCAAAGATTTTGTAGCCATCTCTGGTTTGTCCTGTATGTCATGTTTAGATATGCATTGGCCGAGAGGGCATCCTGGGTAGCAAGGAGAGGCCCGACAGCGTGCAAGCCACCAGTCCACGACTCGGAGCGAACTTCAGCATTTGCGCAGATTTTCGCAGCACGATTGTTTAAGGTGCGAAACCAATCGGGTTTGACAAGGCCAATGAGGCTTCTCAACTGATGAGCTGAAATAGAAGGGAGCTATTCTGGCTGCTTGAAGGCTGTACCGCCAGAGCTCTCCACCAGAGGCCTGGATTGAACGATGATCTGTTCCCGCAAGCGACGTCGGGACCTCACAGGCGCTGAAGCTGCAGTGTACCAAAGTCGGGTGCAAAGTGCGGCGCCTGGAGCGACAGCGAAGGGGCCGAGCCGGCGCGCTCCTGCGGAGGCCAGCACTCCCTTGGGCCGCGGCAGCTCTCCCCGGCACCTGAAACGCACTCAGAGCATCAAATGAGCAGATTCCCTTTGCCTGTGTATGTGGTCGAGGTAGTCACGCCCTGGCATGGACATATCAGCACGACCAATGCCTCGCAGCTGCACTAGTCTCACTAGATGTCTGGACAGGTTGACAACGGAGAGAGCCACGAAAGAGCTGTTGCAGTGTTTCCGTCGCTAGGTCCGGCCACAGGGCATGCAGCCACAGCGGCTTCAACGACTGGCGTCCGGCTTCACAGCAGATCCGAGCGGACTCTGCTTACGAGTCGTGATTTCAGGTCAGCTCCAGCTGGGTGGCGTGCAGTGCAGGCAGTGCAGGCAGTGCAACGGCCTGGCTTCACTTTACTGGGAAGCGGTCCACCACGGTCAGAACCTCGGAGTTGAGTCTGGGACAGGGAAACAAAGTCGGTGCTCTGGACGAGGTATGCAGTGAGTTCAGCGGATGTGCGGGCAGGCTCTCTAGGCCGCCCGGCCAGCACAACGTTGCTTTGGGCTTTGGGTGGTCTATAGGTTCTCCAGTCCTCATTGCTTCGTAGAGTGTATGGTAAGGCTTGCTTTCCGTCATTTACATCATGCTGTGATGCTTTGTAGCTGCCTATCACTTCTGAAGTAGCTATCAAGGTTTTGTAACCGTTTTTGTTGCTTTGGTTGGCGTCGTGTCAGAGTTTACCTCCCGTCATTCGTGTTGAGGGTTAAGGCTGGGCATTCTTGTATACGTTCGGGGCTCGCTTGTCATCAGACCATTTGGCATTTTGCTCCCAATCCCCCCAAGTGCCGTCTAAGGCTAACCAGAACCTGCGTCAAGCACTTGAACGTGCAAGTCTCTTGGGCAATCCCCCGAATGGAAACTTTGCTGCGACAACATGCGAACTGGATTCGCCAGAACCGTTGCGTGGCACATTGCCAAACCTTCTATCCACGGGTCGCTCTTGCTTGGAAGAAATTCCCTCTGTTGATTGTTGTAAGCGTGAAACCTGTCATCATATTGTGGAACTTTATGGACGTTGCCTCGCACCCGGAGCTGAGTTGGAGCGTGGCTCGAGACGGTTGTAGATGCGTCCTCCGGTACTTCTGGACTCGCGATGCAACATTCGAATGCTTCTCTCATTGCTGTGAGCACCTCACCACCAGACTCCCAGACCTGCGGAATGCCACATTGCTATGCATGCCGTTGTGCCAAAGGCTCGGAGGACGTTCAACGGAGAGCGAGCCCCTTCCCCACATGCCCATCCTACAAACATGAGTTCAATCGCCTACCTGTCGTCCTCTACTCTCTCTTGCCTTCTTTGTTTTTGCCAGCTGAACATTGGATTCCGGGTCTGAGACCACGAAATAGCTTTTCTCACCACGAACTCTACTCTCTACGGCTATCGTGGAATCAGTTTGTTTCGGTGCCCGGACCAGGAGCGAGGTCAATTGATTTCATCGTTGCTTCCCGACTCGCGGTCTCAGAGAACGCAGCTTATAGGATTTCATATCTGGTATATGGATGTTGCTCGCAGGCTCAGCAGCGCGAATGCCAAGTCCAGGGACGGTTGTGCATCCTCACCCAGTGCACGGTTCTGAGCTCAGACCGACAGCAGTGCTTGTATCGATGTATGCTGTTTCGTGTGCGCAGAGGTGCTGTTGTGGGCCCGGGTGTTGTGGCACCTGCACCAGGCAGCCCAATGGTCGCTCCTTTGCCAGCCCCTCAGCCAACTTCGCGTGTTGGAGTCCGTAAGTTAGTCGGACAGTATGACAGTATGCGTGAGGCGCACGAGCTCGCCGGTGCCACCCGTTAGGCGTGGGTTCAGCGAGTGATGTATGCGGACCACCCTGCAAAGCGCTGCCAGGACTCGATGCGCAAGCCCCCTGGCAGGTGCTTCGAGTGCCGATGTTCAAGCACTCAGAGCCTTGTTGCTACCTCAGTTTGTGCAGGCGCAGCTGGTCCATGTCCTAGTTTTGCAAGGACACCCAGGCCAGAGCAAGTAAGATATTTCCGGCCTTTGCTTGTCAGTTTCGACAGGGGCGATGTGCAGCCATCTCAACAGCCAGAGCCTCTGCAGTTTGCCTGGCGACCTCAGCGGAGGGATGTTCGGATGTTACAGGCGGGGACACATCCGTGACGTGCACTGAGCGCTAAATGCCCAAGGCCTTGGACGGCCCGAGGGGTTCCTCCGCAGGTCGGACCCGCCTCAGCTTCCATGACTGCCCGAGCCTCTCGACACTGAGGTGGGCTCCCGCTTCATCCTCGTGTCTCCTCAAGAGGCTGCAGCGTCCTAGCTTTTTAAAGTGGGCGCCACTTCAACGCCTTTAGAGTGCCCCATAGTATAAGATATTGTTCCATTACGAACGCGACTCATTGCCACACTCAGTGTCCAGTACAAAATAAACTCGTTCGGCTTTGCACGGGAAGCTGAGCATCCCCGCTCCTGCATCAGGCAGTGCACGCTGGACGATGCATGACGCCAAGAAGGGTGCCTTCGCGACCACCGGCAGGTGACATGTGAATCATTCTGGAGCTGGCGGCAGAAAGTGTCACGAGCTTTCGAAGGGAATCCGGACAGGCACGACTCCCCGCACGATCGATCGAGCCACACCGGCTCGACAGGTGAACCTTGGCTGGCCTGGTGCAGATGGGATGGTATGTGCCGTGTATCAAGAGTCTTCACACAACCAAGGCAGTATGCCGTGCACACGCCACGAAGATGATCAGGCTTGTCAAGTCCCAAGACGGGACTGGAAGCCAGTCATTCCAGTGCACAGCTGATGTAGTCTGAGCAGGAACAAAGCGCAAAGTCCTGCGAGCCAACGATCCGTCTTTTGCCACCAGCGCAAGAAAAGCTGTGTGGGCGTGTGCGTATTGTGACATGAGGTGTCCGATTGATTGGAGAACCTATACAAACCAAAACCAGTTTGGAGCCCGAATTTGTGTCGCGAAAGCCTGCGGGTGGCGTGCGCTTCGCTTGACCGGCCCTCTTTCCGATTCCGACTCACTGTCGGATTTCCGTGTCTTATTG